CCCAAAATCCCCCAAAACTCCGAACCCCTGACCCCAAAAATCCCCCCCGACCCCAAACCCTGACCCCAAACTCTGACCCCAAATATCCCAAACTTTGACCCCAAATCCTAAACCCAAACCCCCCAAACCCCAGGCCCTGACCCCGAACCCCAAACCCCGAACCCCAAACTCCTGAAACCCCAAATCCTGACCAAAAATCCTGACCCCAAACCCCAAACCCCAACCACAAACTCTGACCCCAAATCCTGACCCCCAACTCTGACCCCAAACCCCGAAAACTTTGACCCCAAATCCTAAACCCAAACCCCCCAAACCCCAGGCCCTGACCCCGAACCCCAAACCCTGAACCCTAAACCCCAAATCCTGACCCCAATCCCCAAGCTCTGACTCCGAACCCCAAATCCTGACCCCAAACTCCTGAAACCCCAAATCCTGACCAAAAATCCTGACCCCAAACCTTGACCCCAAACCACAAACTCTGACCCCAAATCCTGACCCCCAACTCTGACCCCAAACCCCGAACCCCCAACACCCCAAAATCCCCAATCCCCAAACCCCGAACCCTGAACCCCAAACCCTGACCCCAAACCCCCCTGACTCCAGCCCCAAACCCCAAACCCTGACCCCACACCCTGACCCCCATCCCCCTCTCCCCCCAGGACATTTTCCGCCTGCTGACCCCTGGCGGGGGCGGTTTCGGCCCCCCCGAGGACGGGGCTGGGGGCGCCCCCCGGGACCCCCCGGACCCCCAGGACCTCTGGGCCCCCCAGACCCCCCCGAGCCCCCCAAAACCTCGGGACCCCCCGGGACCCCCGACCCCACAAACCTTCCTGGAGCGCGGCAGCGTCTTCGACTTCCGGCAGGCGCAGGAGGGCGTGTGACCCCAAACCCGCTATGGGGCACCCCACACCCGCTATGGGGCAGCCCAAAACCCGCTATGGGGCACCCCACACCCGCTATGGGGCAGCCCAAACCCGCTATGGGGCGCCCAAAACCCGCTATGGGGCACCCAAAAACCGCTATGGGGCACCCCACACCCGCTATGGGGCAGCCCAAAACCCGCTATGGGGCGCCCAAAACCCGCTATGGGGCACCCAAAAACCGCTATGGGGCACCCCACACCCGCTATGGGGCAGCCCAAACCCGCTATGGGGCACCCAAAACCCGCTATGGGGCAGCCCAAAACCCGCTATGGGGCACCCCACACCCGCTATGGGGCAGCCCAAACCCGCTATGGGGCACCCAAAACCCGCTATGGGGCAGCCCAAACCCGCTATGGGGCACCCCAAACCCGCTATGGGGCAGCCCAAAAACCACAGCTATGCACTCCTTCTGTGGGGCAGCCCCCCATTGCTAGATATGCACAAGCTATAGGGCAGCCCCACAACCCCGCTATGGGGCAGCCCCTCCTAGATACGCACAGTCCATAGGGCACCCCACAACTCCAGCTATGGGGCAGCCCCTCACCCAACTCCAGCTATGGGGCCTCCCCACAACCTTAGCTATGCACCCCCTCTATGGGGCAGCCCCCCCTAGATACGCACAATCCATAGGGCAGCCCCCTGAGCCTGCTGTGGGGCAGCCCCGCAGCCCCGACCCCTCTATGGGGCAGCCCCACAACCCCGTTATGGAGCAGCTTCCCCTAGATACGCACAGTCCATAGGGCAGCCCCCAACTCCAGCTATGCCCCGCGTGGGGCAGCCCCTGAGCCCGCTATGGGGCAGCCCCAAATCCTGCTATGGGGCAGCCCCACGTCCCATCTACCCCTTCCATCTTCTAGATACGCACAGTCCTATGGGGCAGCCCCCAACTCCTCCATAGGGCAGCCCCCTGAGCCTGCTGTGGGGCAGCTCCACAACCCCGCTATGGGGCAGCCCCACAACCTTAGCTATGCACCCCCTCTATGGGGCAGCCCCCCATTGCTAGATACGCACAAGCTATAGGGCAGCCCCCAACGCCAGCTATGCCCCCCATGGGGAACCCCCCAACCCCGCTATGGGGCAGCCCCACATCCCATCTAGGCACCTTCTATAGGGCAGCGCCTGACCCCTCTATGGGGCAGCTCCCCATTGCTAGACACGCACAAGCTATAGGGCAGCCCCCAACCCCTCTATGAGCCTGCTATGGGGCAGCCCCCCCCTAGATACGCACAATCCATAGGGCAGCCCCCTGAGCCTGCTGTGGGGCAGCCCCGCAGCCCCGACCCCTCTATGGGGCAGCCCCACAACCCCGTTATGGAGCAGCTTCCCCTAGATACGCACAGTCCATAGGGCAGCCCCCAACTCCAGCTATCCCCCCGTGGGGCAGCCCTTGAGCCCACTATGGGGCAGCCCCAAATCCTGCTATGGGGCAGCCCCATGTCCCATCTACCCCTTCCATCTTCTAGATATGCACAGTCCTATGGGGCAGCCCCCAACTCCTCCATAGGGCAGCCCCCTGAGCCTGCTGTGGGGCAGCCCCACAACCCCGCTATAGGGCAGCCCCCCCCAACTCCAAGCTATGGGGCAGCCCCACAACCTTAGCTATGCACCCCCTCTATGGGGCAGCCCCCCATTGCTAGATACGCACAAGCTATAGGGCAGCCCCCAACTCCAGCTATGCCCCCCTTGGGGCAGCCCCCCAACCCCGCTATGGGGCAGCCCCACATCCCATCTAGGCACCTTCTATAGGGCAGCGCCTGACCCCTCTATGGGGCAGCTCCCCATTGCTAGACACGCACAAGCTATAGGGCAGCCCCCAACCCCTCTATGAGCCTGCTATGGGGCAGCCCCCCCCTAGATACGCACAATCCACAGGGCACCCCCCAACTCCAGCTATGGGGCAGCCCCTCACCCACTCCAGCTATGGGGCAGACCCCCCCCAATCCAGCTATGGGGCACCCCATAACTCCAGCTATGGGGCAGCCCCCCCCACCCCAGCTCCCCACTTTGGGGGTCTCCCCCCAGTTCCCCCCCAGCCTCCAATAAAGCTTCCTGTGCCCCCCAACTCCTGCCTGGTGTCTTGGGGGGGACCCCCAGGGACCACCCCAGTGACCCCCCCCAGCCCCACGGAGCCCCCCAGGGGCTCTGCCCCACAGATCTGGGGGGAGGTCACCGAGCCAGTGACCCCCAAACTCTGGGAATTGGGGGGAGGGGAGGGGAACCCCCCGTGTGCCGTGGGGGCCGTGCCAGCCCCACAGGAGAGAGGCTGGGTCGATACGGGATGGAGGCCAGGGCTGGATCAATGAGATCAATACCAGATCAATACCAGATCAATGTCAGATCAGTGCTGGTTCAATGCTTGTTTAATGCTGGATCAATACTGAGCCAATGGCAGATCAATACTGAGACAATGCCGGATCGATACTGGATCGATACTGAGACAATGCCAGATCAATAGCAGATCAGTGCTGGATCAATGCCGGATCAATACAGATCAATACCAGATCAATGCCGGATCAATACAGATCAATACTGAATCAATGTCACCCAATACTGGATCAATACTGGATCAATACCGGATCAATGCCCGATCTATAGTGGGTCAATGCTGGGATGATGCCGGATCAATACCAGACTGATCCTGCCCCAATACATAATCAATATCGGATCAATACCAGGCTGAGCCTGCCCCAATACCTGATCAATGCCGCCCAATACCGGATCAATACGAGATCAATACCTGATCAATACCGGATCAATACCAGATCAATACCGGATCAATGCCCCCCCAATCATGTCCCAATACTGGATCAATGTCACCCAATACCAGAACAATACTGGATCAATACCGGATCAATACTGGGTCAATGCCCCCATTGATCATGTCCCAATATCGGATCAATGTCACCCAATACCGGTTCAATACCGGATTAATACTGCCATTAACCATTAATTATTCATTAATTATTAATTAATCATTAATACTGGCATTAATCATGTCCCAATACCGGATCAATGGCCCCCAAGACTGAATCAATACCAGATCAATACCGGATCAATGCCGCCATTAGACATGTCCCAATACTGGATCAACGTCACCCCATACCAGATCAATACCGGATCAATACCGGATCAACGTCACCCAATACCGAATCAATCCCGGATCAATACGGGATCAATACCGGATCAATCCGGGATCAATACCGGATCAATACCGGATCAATACCGGATCAATACGGGATCAATCCCGGATCAATACCGGATCAATGCCGCCATTGATCGTGTCCCCATCACCCCCTGGAGCCGTGTCCGGCCCCGTGGCCGGAGCCGTGGCCGGAGTGTGGCCGTTCT